GAATGCCGAATCCTTTATTTAACAGAGGATGTTCGCGTCCTATTGTCCATGATTTTCGTTCCGAAGACGACTGTAATCTTTGTGCTGGCGAACTATGTAGGAAATGTTTTCTCTGTTATTCTCTGGCTAGAATTTTCCATCCAGAGTAAAAAAGCTATTCTTTAGGTATTCTATTCCATCCTATAACTTGCGAAATACTATAACAAGCTTCAGTTAGCGAGGAGAATCGCAGACGTGGTCTGAAACAGATTTTCAAAGGATATTCTCTCATTCTCAGTCGCTATTAGTAGGGTCAGCTTTATATTCCCAACACCATAAAGTTTGTGACAGTTTGTTATTTTACCACTAACGCTTTTGGTAGCAACCAGAACCAACTAATCAGCAAATTACTATCATGCTCTTTTGTGCCAAAATAAAGTGCTACAGTCGATTCGTGCGTCCATAATTTATGGACAATCCCTGTACAGCACTAACATAACCTTTGAGTGTCTACCTACCTACTAGGGATAAATGAGGGTTACTGATTTGTGTGAGGAATTAAGATTAGGATTTACAGTTGAACGTTAGGGATAAAATTTGACGTTTTCGTCACGAGGTGTCATCAGCCAGTGTCAAAATGATGCTAGGTAAGTGAGTGAATAAATTTTGCTCATAAATTCAAGACCTGTTGTTTCGTCCATACTTTATGGCCTCGTCATAAATCCGAATTCTTGGTTTTTGTGCTGACATTTAAGAAGTGGCGATTGTCGTTCATGTGGTCAGTCGGCTTTATTTAACATGAAACCTAGCACATGTAGATCGATTAAGGATATCACACCGCACTAGAACAGCTAAGTGAAATTTTCAAAACGAATATCAAAGTAGTAGAAATGGTGGGAGTATCACTAATAGTAAGAATGGATACGTACAGAAATAAATCCTCGTTATGTTTCTTAGGCCAGATTGTAGACTTTGATTTTTTTGCCTAGAGCCAAACTTTTAGGTCACTGTAGCTCGTAAGTGTTGTGTTGGTGGTCTGTCCCAGGGTAACACTTGAAGGCTCAACTACTAGCTTTTTTCGACTAGAATGAAGTAGGATTTTCTGTCTGACCATTTGTTTTGACCCTTCTCGAAACTAGTCATCCAACAAACCTTGACAAGGATGTCGTGCGTGTGTGTTATATCTTTGAGACAGGAACATGTATTTACGTTGCACCCTGAATTGGTCCAAGTCACCACTTCTCAATAAAATCAAGGATAATTCATATTCCGGATCGCGTGCTACATACTCCATCATCAGGTTGCCACCAGCAGAATTTGTAGCCGTAACGACTTGTTATTGTTGTTTTACATTCCATAGCTTTATTTTAAATCATGTGAATAAAATAGGATTGATTTCAGTCTGACAGCATCATGTAAAGCAGTACTTTAGTTGTATTTTCATCCAGGCTTTCTTCAGTCTGAAGTAAAATTACCTGAAAATTACATAAAAGTTTCAGTATTACCAAACCTCATCATAGTAGATACGAATTACTGTTGCGTGATTAAGATATACTCGAATCTGTATTTGACTTTATTATCGAACTATATCGCTCAACAATTAAACACTCAATTCTCACGATCACACTTGGATACTGCTACAGCTGTGCAGATTCTAACAACCCATTATTATCACAATACTTCTAACATGTCATTTATGACCAGAGACACTAACCTAAACGTGATCATTCAGTACACCGTCATTATTCCATGTTTACAGAATTTTCAGATCATTGGCAATTTTCGAAAATGTCGATATGTTTAATAGCTGTGATCTGTCGCTAAACTTTTATCATGATTTTAAAGTGAAAATGCAATTATTCCCGTTGTTTAAAAGTGATGACGTTCAGATAATGAAAATAACCTTTGAGGCGTACTTAGTACCTATCAAAGTGTACCGTATCTGGAACCCGGGGCGCATTGTACTATGTATTAAATAGTTAGAGATAATGTGCTCGTTGATAATTGTAATTTAAATTTTAAAAACTTCTACCGGTTGACAAACAAATATAAGATAACTCATGAATATTGTGCGATTAACATTACAAACAAGGGGTGTTTTATTGTTCGATGTAAGTTTTAAGGGCAGAATTTCATACTGCAGGTGCACTAACCATCGTAAGCTTTTTCCGGACTTTCTTCTTAATAAGTCCACTATAAATAATTACCAAAGAGTAGTCATAATATGTGACTCTATTTATATTTATATAGGTACTAATCAATTGCCGAAACAATAAAAAACTCTTAGCTAGAGTAAAAGCATTCGACAGGCATTGCAATATGGTATTAGAAAATGTCAAAGAAATGTGGACTGAAGTGCCTCGGCCAGGCAAAGGTAAAAAGAAGTCCAAACCGGTAAACAAGGATAGATTCATCAGTAAATTGTTTTTACGTGGTGATTCCGTTATTCTTGTTCTTCGCAACCCTCTGGCTACTGCTGCAGCTGCTCCTAGACCATAAGTATTCCCTCGTATCCATCCTGTAATTCTGATATGTTGTTTTATAAATAAATTTGAACTGATGTTCTCTCATTTTTTTAAAAACTTTCTTCGTTCTCAGTCTACTGAAAGTTCAGTTCAGGTAACTGAGTGGCAGAAAGTCGAAACCTCTCGTCTATCATGGGATTCCTCTGAGCAACTCATGCATATCTTAGTGTTCTTACCTGCCAAACTAGTCGTGTGCTAGGTAGATTAAAACTGGTCATAACTTAGTTGATTTATTATAAAAAAACTTCTACAGTTTCATGTGATTTAAGATAAACTGTTAAACTTAAGTTAATAAAAGTTTGTCATATCAATAAAAGTAAAGCATAGTTCCTAAAGTGCTATACCTAATACCACATGTGATCCTGTGCTTACAATTTTCAAGTTGTAAAATTCTGACCCTACCACTACTAGTATAATAAGTCACCTGTGGTCCGTTAGTCGACCAACCAGTGGTAAGTTCAATTCAGCTACAGTTAAATCTGAATATAATAAGATGTTTGGAAAAGACACATAATTGTGATCCTCCTTAATTATGTCAAGCCGTCTATATCCATGTAACTTTTTGTTATTATAATACTTTCAATCTTAACAATAAAAGTTCTATTACACTTGAATTCTGGCAAGGCATTCGAGTTCTTATTACTCCTTTATTATTAGGTAACTAAAAGTACATAGTCGCATCATGAAACTTATTGTACTAATCAATATTAATACTATTACGAGGAGATTCTATGTTATCTTAGGTGATTTAAAACTCTAATTGTACCTGAAGTTGATGTTGTAAAATATAATATTTATTTATTTATTTAAACATGAACAATTTGTGTGAGGGCTGGGATACTGCCCGGGTGCCCAAACCGAAGCAGGTGGTTTTCGTAGGGGTCACACCCACAGCCTTTGACCTAAAGGTCTGATCTACAAGGCAATGGAGCAACGTCAGGAGATGCAGTCCCATGGCAGTCGGTGACCAACAGTAGGTTCATAAGCCATTTGTTCCCTCAGGATACTGGAACCCATGTGCACCATTGGTTTAGAATCAGGGTTTCCCGATCCCCCTAGATGGATCCTCCATATTCACCAACCCGGTTAAAGCGTCGAACACTTGCTTCCCATCCTTTCAATTTCGTAAACAACACCCCCGCCGCAAGAAGGCAGTGAGTAGGACTTCCCTGGCAGTGGTTGTATGCACGTGGCCATGTGAGAGCATTTGGAAAGGGAGAACTGACTCTACCCACTCTCTTTGCCTTATCAAGGCACTTCGGAACTAATGTAATCATCTACCACTAAAAACACCAATCTCATTCAAAATCTCCATTGTTTTTATTCATTGATTCAGACCAATAGGAAGTTCTTTCTTTTTATAATTACTAGTTTCTTACCATTAAAACAATGGAAATCAAGCTTGTAAGCAATTGATGAAGTGATGAAACTTCATCAGTTAAGATGGCTGGGACGTGTTACGTATGCCCAACGACCGACTGCCTCGACGTGCGATGTTCAGTGGTATAGGAGTAGGTTGGAAGAAAGCTAGGGGCGGCCAGACCAAAACATGGCACAAGTCCATGCAGTCACTGACAAGTCGTCTGAGTCATGTTGGTAGGTGTACACTACTTGGTTGGGATCTGCGAGATGATAGCAACCGATGGTTAAAGACCCTGAATGACATGGCTCAAAATCGTTTGCAATGGCGCAGGTGCATCCACTGTTTGTGTTCTCCCAAATTCTAATCTTCTGAATTCTTCATGTCTCTTTCTTTTTCCTCTTTCCAAATTTATTTCACTGGATTATACTCTTCAAATAACATCTTCGAATCCTAATGTTTCCGATCACTGCTTATAATTTTACTATCTCTACCACTACGGGATTTGAATGGAGAACTGCATCTCTGTGCCAATGTGATATGGCAACTCGAACTGATGTACGTACATACGAAGTTCTACGTTGTTACTGACTGACTGACTGACATGTTCTCACATAAGATCTATATTATTGAGATTCAATTCATCAAAGTGTAAATAGTCATATTATAGATGAACAATTAACAACAATGTCAATGATGTTTTTATTATGTAAATTTTACCAAATAACAAAATGAATAAACTAATCAAGCAGAAATAAGCTTAGATAAAATACAAAATTAATTATCTTTCTGCATTATTCATACGTACTATTTCATTTTTGCTTTAACTATGAAGATGAAATAAAAATAATAAGATATGGAAATAAGAGTTGAAAAATACAGAAAGCCGAAAAAACAAACAAACAACAACACTAAGAACGTTTCATTAGAAAGTAATAGATTATATTGTAGTCGGTTCTGTTTTCTTTCATATTTGAGCGAGTACAAATCTCTATGTACATATTGAATGTAAACATTCATCAATAAAATATTATGTTATACAGACTATTAAAAGCTAAACCGTCTTAAAATGCATCTGACCATCACTATCATTATCAGTGCAATATATATATATATATATATATATATATATATATATATATATATATATATATAATAAAATACATAAGTGAAGAAAACTGTTAAGTGACGACATTGAAAGAACAAAAGAAGGCGGGAAATGTGAATTTATATCTGTGTTATATATATGTGCGACAAGCTAAACGATTGAAACAATAATTAATGATGAGAAGTAATTAATTAATTAATTAACCAGAATAGTGAAACACAATGCTCAAGTATGTTTTACTTAGTAGAGGAAATAAACTAAAGAAAATTATGCACATTTTTGAAATGTTTCTTTGTTTTGACAATGAATGTTATCATCAGTATCATTATTATTACTCTGACTAATATCAGTTAGTTAATATTCTTGAGTTGAATTTTATATTTAAGCGAATGTTATAAGTGGTACATTAGTTTGTTGTTTTGGTGGTGATGTTGGCTTTTGTTGTTGTGATGATGTATCTGAAGTCGGTGATGATAACTTATTATGAATGCTGTCATTATTATCTAACGGAATAGTACTAACAGATGTTGTTTGTAATGTTGGATTTGTACAATTTTCTACCGGACCTACTACTTGTTCATTTGATTTAACATTCACTAAGGAGACAATACTACTGTTATTTTTATCATTATTATTATTATCATCAATACGATTGCTGGTCATTGAAGCTGACGATGCTGAATTGCAGCACATATTAGTGTGACAATCAGTTACTATTGTTGATAGTTTCTCAGTAGTAGGTTGGGTAGATAAAATTAACCGATCTGTAATGTTACAGTGTTGATCTAAAGCTAAATTACTTTGAGAATTTGAATTGTTTCTGTTTAAATCATTATTATTATTATTATTAAAATGAATATGATTGATATTGTCGTGATTATCAATTAATGATAATGATGATAAACATGGTACTAGTTTTGTTGTTTCTGTAGGTGATGATGGTGTTGATGCTGATGATAATCCAAGTTCAAGGAATCGTTCACGTTTAAATACACTTAGTGTACCTTTAGCTTTATTTTCGTTTACACTAAATAAAGAAAAGACATTAAAAATGAAATTTATTTTAGTTTAATATTTACTTAATTTCATACAAATATTATTATTAATCAAACAACCAATATCTAGTAACTGAAAACTCTTAATGCTATGTAGATAATCAATCATTCATTAATGATTTAATTATAAAACTTTCAATTAATTTATCATATATAGTCAACATAGAGCCTGGTATAAATGTGTGTTCGCTCGAATTATCATACCGCAATAACATGATAAGATGAATTGAAAAAAAAGTCGACATAATTTGAACAAATATAACTTAAAGGTATATATAAATAATCTGCAAAAGATGCAGATGTGGGTAAAGTGAGAATATATCTACCGCCATTATGACAGATTCCAAGTTATGCCACAGAGGTTTGCACTAACTGCTTCCATAAGTCAGAACTACGAAATGAATTATTATTTTTTTTGGTTAGCGTTTTTTTTAGCGAGTTACTTTTCTACGGGAGGTTCAGATGCAGACGTAAAGGCGAAGATTGGCAAAGTAATGGCCGCATTCCTACAATTGAAGAACATATGGAACTGAAAACAACTTTCAACAAATATCAGAGTCATAATCTTCAATACGAACGTCAACACAGACAGTTCTACTATACGGAGATGAAACTTGGAGAACTACTACAACTATCATCAGGAAGTATTTACAAATAGCTGTCCACGCAAGATACTCAACATCCATTGGCCGGATACCATCAGCAACAGCCTTCTGGGGGAGAGAACAAAGCAGCTTCCAATTAAAGAGAAATTAGACAAAGACGATGGAGTTGGTGGATAGGATATACATTACGCAAACCATCAAAGTGCATCACGAGGCAAGCCCTAACTTGGAATCCTGGAGTGAAGCGGAAAAGAGGAAGGCCAAAGAACACATTACGTCGGGAAATAGATTCAGATATGAAAAGGATGAATAACACCTGGAAGGAGCTAGAAAGGATTTTCCAGGATAGGGTTGGATGGAGAGTGCTGGTGAGCGGCTTATTCTCCTTCACGAGGAGTAACAGGCGTAAGTAAGTAAGTAACGAAATGAATAACCCTGCGGTTACGTATATGATGTTATGTATATAGAGTAAATCAATTATTAAGGTATGAAACCTCATCATCTAAGTAGTACATTAGAACAGGCAAGAGTGGTCAAACAAAAACATGTCATCAGTTCATGAAGTTACTGACTGTTGTCCTGAGCAGTGTCGGAAAATTTCAATCTCTTGACTTACGTGAGACAACCATCCTCCATGTTTAAATACTAACGTAGGAGGTTCTATGTTAGTGGAAGTGACTGATTGAGACAATTCAGTTACTTACATTTTCACCAAATAATTTTTTATTATTCAATTGATTACCCAATTCGATTTGTTTTAATAAAAATGGATATGCAAAAAAAACCTACTAAATAATTCAACTTACCAATCATAGATAATTCCATCTACACCCAATTGTGTGAGTAATATACGTTTTTCCGGTATGTTTACAGCTTCACCCCATGCTAATACAACTAGTTTATGTGAATGTGCTAATTCAATAATTCCTGGGACTTTTAATAAACGATCACTTTCTAAACATACCCCCTGTTATTCATGATTCGTAGTGTAAAAAGATTGGAAAAAACAGAGAAAAAAATCTAGATGTTTTATTTAGGTATTATGAATATATTTACTATCAAAACAAATAACTTTACTGAGATTTTGGAAGATGAATGCAGCTGTGCTAATGTGACCGATCTATTGTACTATCCCACTCGACTTTAATCGTTGTTTACCCCCCCCCCACTAACCAGCTAGTTTGCACATGTAGGTCAGAACTGCAATTTGTAGTCAGTTAGGTACATTTTGATGTTTGCACTTAAACAAACAGTTTTCTTACAATGAATAATCACAATCTAACTTGGTTTCTTCAAAAAATTGGTTATCCGTAGACAAGAGGAGTTCTATCTTAAGCTCAAATAAGGGTTTTATCATGTTCAAGTTACATTATGTTCGATTAGCTCTTTTGGGATTAAAACGACTTCTAAACAGTGTTGAAGCAATAAACGTACGAATAATCGATATTATTGTAGTATATATATCTAGATATAGACAAGGATTCGTATGTAAAAATGTACATCGATGAAAGGTCAGGATTAGTTGTATATGAATACTTATGATGTAACCAATAACTTTACAAACACACATGTATAGGTGAGATAAGTTGACAGCGGTTTATATCGATTCGTCATAAAAATTCACGACGGCATTGTAAATATGATTAAGTGCTTATTATGTTCTAAGTGTATATGGGGTCGCTAGAAATATCGCAAAATAATTGCTGTAGTTTCAGGGGCTGTTGTTGGATGCAACGGTAAAGATAATTGTTGTCAGTATGTATAGATTTTTCTATATCTCAATTCACTGAATCCATTAATACAATTCACACAGTGAAGTGTTAATGTTTAAGGAATAGTGGGATTAGAATTGTTTTGAACAGATCACTTGTTAAGGAAAAACCTGTCGATTGTATTTAGTCATCTGAGATTAAACAATGTGCACAGCGACTTGTTCAATAAGGTTCAGTCTCCAATAGGGACAGGAAAACATGACATATTAGTTATCTATCATTGAGTGATTTAGTGTAATCTGTTAACTTTCCTATATCTTTGAGATGTATGGTAACACGAATACTTTGGTAAATTAACCGTAACGTTACAAGTTTATCTACTTGTAACATAAAACAGTAGTACTATTATCTGTTCAATAAACAATACCGATGGAAATGAAATATTTCGATGAAAATGTGTTATCATTACATGATCAAATGATAACTTACCAAGAGTTGATGACTTAATGCAGACCAAAATAAACTTTGAAAGTCAGCATGTCGTGTATCTGCATATTCCGGGGATATTCCAAGTTGAAAGACTGGATAAATTTGTTGTTTTAACTGAAGCCTGTTAAATGATGAGGGTTACAGGTTCATGAGGTGGAGTAGGGAAGACGAAAATAAAAACTCATGTAACAAAAACTAACATTATGTGTTATTTAAATAAGATTAAGTGAATGATACATAATTATTATGCATTAAGCTAAAAATTAACCGATTAAGGATAAAGTGGAAAAAATTATATAATAACTTACATTACACAGACATTTGGATCAAAACATGATAATAAAATACGTCTTTTACCAGCATGTGTTAAGATTTCACGTAGGATAGTATCGACATAAAAGTTGTACTCGAAGAAATGGTCCATTTCTGAGCTGCCATCCTACGTACACAGAAAAAATAAAGAATAAAGATGAAGAATCCTTAGGTTACCGATGTGATTAAATAATAACCAAGTGGGATGAGAATGGATCCAATTTTAACTGTACCCGCTTTATTTGAATAGTTAGATAATAGTGGCTTAATGATTAGGGTGTTCGATTTCCAACCAATAAGTCTCAAGTCCGAGCTCCGTCTAATCTACTTTGGTTTAGCTAACCGGGTTGTATCATTAAGAGTGTGGCTGACACCCAAGTACCTGGTAGATGAGTTAATCAAACTTAAAAACAACATTGATTAGGAAAATTCGGTTCACATAACTACTTAAGTGTGGCTACTATTATAGTGACCGAACACTCAGGTGGGGATAACCAATTTATATTGTCTAACACACAACTACAGAATTCTATGGCAAATTGTGAAAACATTCTTTTGACAGGCATCCAACTTCTGATTGGCGTTATATACTACTTATGTTTGTCGACATGAGTAGCATACGTCGCACTATCACCTGCGTTAATTTATAACAAATCAGGTAGGTAAAAGTGTTCGAACTCATTGATTAATGGTTCGAAGCCAATCAAAAGCAAAATATATTTCACACAGACTTCATTCTTTTTCATGTCTATCAACTTAGCTATTTATCAGACCTGTTGGCAACTGGTGTTTTACAGTCCGAATCAGCAACATAAACCATGACCATAATAAAAAAAATCATATGCATAACATTGGATACTTCCCAATGATGGATTATTGTATTCGATTCAGCTATAAAATAGTTTGTAACTCTGGTGTAAAGAATAACGTTAACATTTATGGAAAAATAGCAGTACCTTCGAAAAGAGTAATAGTAGACACACACACACAAGCTACCAACGAACGTTGATAAATCTAAAGCTTAATTGCAAAAATCTCCTGTTAATAACTATTCAACACCAGAAATCACTTCAATAATAACAAGTTACATGAAAAAAAAGGAACTAAAATTGTATAATGTTTCATCTTATCACTTCGATATAACACAGCATGCAACAATCGAATCACACTTGACGGAGAAGATTTGGAAGATGTAAAAACCGTTACATATCTGGGCAGCATTATTGATGAACACGGCGGATCTGATGCAGATGTGAATGCGCAGATCGGCAAAGCAAGAGTAGCATAATTACAATTAAAGAACATCTAAAACTCAAAACAACTCTCTGTCAAACAACACCAAGGTCAGAATTTTCAACACAAATATCAACACAGTTCTACTGTAAGTTGTGAAACCTGGAGAACTACGAATACCATCATCCAGAAGATAAAAGTGTTTATTAACAACTGTATACGCAAAATATTTCGAATCCGTTGACCAGACACTATCAGCAACAACCTAGTGTGGGAGAGAAAAAAACCACATCCCAACGGAGGAAGAAATCAGGAAGAAGTGCTGGAAGTGGATAGGACACATATTGAGGAAAGGACCGAACTGCATCGCGAGGCAAACCCTTACAGGGGATCCTCGAGGCCGAAGGAGAAGAGGAAGACCAAGGGATACATTACGCCGTGAAATGGAGACAGACATGAGAAGAATGAACAATTGGATAGAATTGGAAAGGAAGGCCCAGGACAGAGTGGGTTGAAGAATGCTGATCGGAGGCCTATGCTCCATTGTGAGTAACAGGAGTAAGTCATGTTATCACCTTAAATGAAACAATCTATCAAAAGGAATTAAGTTATCATCGATTAATCAATGTTAACTTGTAAAATTTATCAAAACAATGTAAACAATTTAATATGCTTAATTATATTAGCCATTAGTTGTCATGGCTACATGAAACTATTTTTAACAGGATAAAATGTATAGATTAGAATAACATATAAATATAAGCGAATATTAATATATTTATATGGAGAAAATAAAACACAACTAAACTGATTAAACCAGTTTATGAAGCAATGATAATAATGAAAAGGATTGCATAACTAATTATAATAAATAGAAATTACACATCGATAATACGGATAATGGAAATGCCAAAGGTATTTGAAATTTGATAATGCTTTAACCAGTAACATCTTCTATTACGAATTGTGCCCACCTAGTGAAATCAAAAGCCAGAATTGAAGAGGTTCGAAGATATATTTGATAGATTATCAAGTGATTGATCTAAACTGGCTAGGGATTTGTGGGAGAACTTGAGCACGGCGTTTTCACTCGTGATCTGATGCGGATGCATGACTGAGAGCCTTCAGCTAGATGAGTTCATTAAAACTAATGTGGTCAGCATCCAATGTCGAAAACTTACAGAGCTATTGATTTTGGGGATTTATTTACCACTACAATGACATTTATAATAATAAACCGGGTAATAACATGAACAAATATTTGAATATGAAAATATAACTCCATAGCTTGATAAAAATGAACTTGAAAATCTTTTTATTAAAATAGTGATCATAAATTGACTGAAATTATACATTGACATCAACTCCGCCTAGAGCCCCTCTGGGGCTATTGCTGGTTCCAAGCCCAGATAAAGGCGAAAGGTTGAGTATGCGATTACGGACCCCATCCTGTAGAAAGCTAACTCGGTAAAAAAACGCTAACCAGAAAAATTAATTTAAACTCTGCCCTGGAAGTTAGAAGGTCTTCATTTAGAAGAGTTATGACGCCTTATCACAAGTTCCTTCGGAAGTCACTAGGTTGATGCTCCTTCTGACAACTAGAGCAACCATTAATTTAGGTATATGGAATGCTTGTACAATGTGGGAGACCGAGACAGTCTTCCAAATTGCTGTTTTCTGCTGTAGACATTAACATCGTTGAATACTGGCTCAGTGATCTTTAAGATTAGAGTAATGAATGAGAACTACTGAAAAGTTCTGTTTACAGATGAATAGATTGTTCAATACTTCCAGATTTTAAATAATGATCTAGTCAAGATTATTTTATGATTAAAAGTTATGAAGATTTTCTAAACTACACAAAGTCGCTTATTCTAAAATAATAATAATAATAATAATCAACAATCACGTAGTAGACAAAAATGTATGACCTTAGTAAAAAATCCAGACTAGATTGATCGTTTATCACTAACTATAAAACTGTATGAGTAAGTAAAATCTAAAAAAATTATTTAAATACCAAGTTTTAGGTAACAAAATTTTTAATCCAAGATTACAGTAATGTGAATATTCTTTAGAAAAGTTACTACAGCGACCCATACAAATTTCTGAGCAATTAATCTGTCAGAGGTACATTTTATTACGTCAGCTAATTTATGTATTCCATCAAATAGTTAAAACTAAACACAAATCTAATCGTGGATTGGTTGAAGTTAAACATTAACACTGTTGGATGCTGGCTCAGTGGTCTAGTTGGTTAAGCGCCTGACGCGAGACTGATAAGCCTTGGGTTCGAATCTCGCGGGGGGCAGGAACGTGGATGTGCACTGCCGAGGAGTAGTCCCACAATAAGACGAAACGTCTGTTCAGTGCTTCCAGGTTTTCCATGGTGGTCTAGCTTCAAGTGACTCATGATTTCAACCAGTGACAAATCTAATTACTAGGAAATTCAAATGATATCACCATAATGGTTCGTATATTTCTCATTTCCACCATCCATTAAAGAAATAAGAACCAATTTCTACAGAAATACACATATCAGATATATTCACTATTGGAGAGAGATGTCATGAGAGCAAAAATTTATGAATCAATATGAATAGCTGAGAATTCTTTACTATAGTCAAATATTTGATATTCGATAGAGTAAGTATTATAACAATCATTATTAATGTTTTTATTCAAAGGATGAATTCATATTTGTGACTACTGAGCTTTCGAGATACAAGAGAACAGTTGATACACACAACAAAGCTGACTAAAAAATTTCAGAATTGAAAAGTAAAATGGTATATTTACATAATAATATTCCAATGATAAACTATCTGAGAAATAAGATTGATACTTGATAACAATATATGAAGATCTCTGTCAATTTACAGAAAAAAGCCCTCAAACGCCCTGGTAAGGATAAGAGTTGGGTAAGTCAGCTCTCCCTTTCCGAATAGTCTCACATGGTAACGAGTATACAACTACTACCAAGGATGTTGCATATCTATTTGGTGCCCGTCTGTACCAATATTTATATGTTTAAATAATAAGTGCTACAAAATATTGCTTTCTGTGAAGCAAGAAATAATCTACGTTACATTCTGAACAATATTGACTAATTATAAATTCATGTACAATTTAAAGACAGAGGATCGGTGGGGAGATTTGACATCCTATAACTTTGAACTTTTGAAGTACCAAACAGTGGCTTTCGTAAATGGATCCAGAATAATAAGACTGATACAGTTATGTAAATAATGAACCATTGTAATCATGTAAACCCATACTTCTACCAGAAGTTGAAGCTGATGATGTTGTATAAGACACCAATGCAAGCACATTTAAATTATCTAGCTTTTCGAACTAAACACCTTCCAAAAAGATCCACTAAAGCTTTAAATCTACTTCATTCTACATCAAACATATTTCGATTAATGCTAACACACTGAATTTTTTAAATTGATAAATACTGTTTAGCACAATCACAATTGATTGATCACTCGGTGGTGATCAATGTCATGTGTGTCAAGTTTTTCTTAGTCCAAATCGAATGCTATCGACCAAGTTGTAATGTGGCCACTAGTCTAGGTGACTCGACATTGCGTGCACTATGTTGAGATAAACTGGTAGTTCGAGATAGTCAACAGGAAACCCTGGACTCGAGTTCCGTGCTATTTGGTACTCGTCAGCAATGTGTACCTGTAATCTGTTTAGCAAATTACTAACTGAATAGAATAAGTATCGTTGCATACTCCTAACAGTATGGTATACTGATATATATTCAATTATATATTAGCATAAACTAAACACAAAAGAATTCCACTACTTCTAAATACAATAAACATATGATATGTCAATAAATGGCATTACAATAACAAAAAATATATACTAGTATAGGGGTTGTGGAGATTATTAAGTTTTTGATTGAGATCATGAACCGATCGATGTTAGACCACCATTGAAAACCTGGAAGCAATGGACGGCCGTTTCGTCCTATTGTGGGACTCCTCAGCAGTACGCATCCACGATCCAACACCCCGCGAGATTCGAACCCAGGGCCTTCGGTCTCGCGACCATTGAGCCGGCATCCAATGGTGATAGTGTCTAACATCAACCAATCCACGAAATTGCGCGACCATCTTCCATTGTACTGAGGTAGATACCTGTCTCTACTCGACATATATATATATATACAGTACATTGTGACTTCACAAAAAAGGAAATCTTATCATAATGTGAGGAAAACAAATAGCCGGAATTAATTTTTAATAGAAGAAATCTCCACAAAAAATATTATTTATTGTTTTAATTTATTATTACTTTAAGGTCCATAGGATATTTCACTTCAATGACAAAACCAAGATCTGAATCAATTTCTTCAAAACATGAATGTAATAAAGGAAATGGTTGTAATTCTATTGGATCCAGATCTTCTTCATTCATTTCTATGGTCAAAAAAGGAAACAAAGAGAAAGAGGAAAAAAGAACATCATTGAAGAAAAATGAATCAGCTGATCGATTTCTTCTTTTTTAATATGCCATTAAATTTATGATTCGTTAACTAGATTATTTAGGCTGACCTCATAACAAATATGTTAAAAGTATAAAAAGTACAATAAGATGAAATAATAATAGTAAATGTTTTTTCTAAATGAGATCACATTCATAGTTGACATAATGTTTGTGCTGATGATGTCGTTCAGAAGAACGATGAAAGCTCCACGACAAAACCATTCAGCTCAGAGAACAAAATTCCGTCAAAATCATCCACTTGAGCTACAAATCTTCTCCATTATCTCAAAATCATTTGATTGGAAATTTTATGTAATTAATTGATTCTTTAAACAATGTATAAACATTCAATAGATTGTAATCGAATAATTTGTCAGATCAATAAACTATTATATCCTGATAAGAATGAGGAATAGTGGTAACTGTTGGAATCTATTTCTGAACTAATACTATACGTATATTTTTATCGTATAATTGTTAAATAACTAAACTATTCATATTCTTGTTCCTCTTATTATAAGCTTTATATTGACTTATGAACTATTACTATACGATTTACCATTCTTGAGCTTTGCCCAGTCTCCCAAACACTATCTCCCTCATTCACAGATACATTTGGCTAAATCTTGTACAAATGTTGTTTCCTACTTTATTGGTACGATGTGGTCTGTCTGGTTGGTATTATAAACCCAAAATGTTTGAAATACATGATTCATATTGAACAGGCTGAGATTGGTGTTCTGGATTCCATCAGGCAGGGCTAGGCGGGAAGCAGGACCGATAAAGACTCTAGAATGCTCGTACTTGTTTTATGCATCGTTGGTCCGGTCGATAATTAACTGTTCTCTAATTGACGGTATCATCACGTTATACATTGATAGGACACAGGGCACAAGTTAGAAAACAATGTGAAATAACTATTTACCATCAATATTAATATGTTCAAATGTTGAAGATACCGATCTCCGATAACAAATATTATTTTACATTAGCAAGTGTTAAGTATATATACATGCTTGGGATAAATGTTCATCAGTTTAGATTGTTATACATCGTCATAAAACAAGGAAAGGGGAAGATAAAAAAAAAAGCGGGAACCAAAGAAAGAGGATGTATTTTATCAGGAATTGAGGTACAAACATTTCACTCAGAGTTAAACGATTGTCAAATTTCCTCAACTTATATTCTGAACACTTTAGTAACTGAATATTTATAAGTTGACCAGTCGACACGCTTTTTTGTTTGCTAGTACCCTAAGACTGATTTCAATATGGTCAAATATTTGGAGTCTATACACATGTTCTACTATGTTTTACAGTCTTAAAAAATTGTGGAACGGACTGTCGTGTAGGGTACTCGGCCCTTGATTGACGCTGGTATATATATATATATATATGTATAAACTACAAGAACGATGAAGGCCATGGCAGTCATCGATAAGGCAAATGAAGAGTTTAACTTTTGAAGATATAAATGGTTATAAGGAGAACGAAGACGGATGTGGCACAAGTCTATTGCCAAAAATAGGGAATACTTTAAAGGAAACAAGAATGAAGTACTGCAAAATTTGCAGCATATTACATCATGGTTTCAACTAATGTATTTACTGAACCAAATACTATATGGATATATATATATATAATAAATGAACTTTATGATAGAATAAGGTTGTAAACATGTTTATGTTTATAGAATATATATTACAGAGTGATTTAGCCGTGAATTTTTCGTTATACTTGTAGACAACATCGTAAGCATATACTGTAAGTAGGAAATGTGAATTAATAAAATACCTCTTTAATCCACTAATGGTTTGTTCTGTTAATCTGATGGATTGTTTTTCACAGTTGTATGGTTGTTGTTCATACGCTTCGTTTCAAATAAATCTGACATTCGAGTCTCAAAATTAAAAGTATGTTAAATGCACTTGATATTGTTCGTTTGAATCTTCCCATTGATGTTCAGGACTGTAATTTATCACTTTCTTATTGGAATATGCGCATACTGTGTGTATTGCCTCGATATTGCCTTAATTCACAAGCATTATATGCAAAGATGGATAGTGGAATCCAGGATGCGTGTTTCGTCCTATTTGAAAATCGTTAGTTGGATGTATCTGCACTTCAGAGTTTGAGCCCCAGGGTGGAACATCAACTCTGAGGTACAGGTATGTCCATCTGACGAGTCTCAAATAGGACGAAACGAGTGTCAAACTGGATTCCACTCCTAGCTACTATCCATCTTTGCATTTAACGTATGTTGTTTGTTTATTCAGTATTAAATCTGTTCTCAAATCCAAGCTTTTATTACAGATCCATTTACTATGTACCATATTTTGAATCCTGAATAACTTCACTATTGTTCTACCATTATTATCGCATAAAAAATATACAAATCTTTGTGTTACTCTCCTTTCACTTAAAGCAAAATGATGTTCATGTTTAGCTTAATCATAAAAAGCAAGATGTAGATAATTTCACTTATTTAAAAAATCATATTAGTTAACTAAAGAAATAAAGAGAATTCAACGAAGGAAATATTATTTATGAATATTGAATTCAAAGGAAATACAGCTGTCGAAATCTTGGATAAGTGGATATCAAAATCCATGAATTAAACTTTTTTACTCAGTTAAGCTTCATATTGTGTTCTCAAGCCAAACTACCATCCATGTATGTGTTAAGAACAAAACTTCCTCTTTGGGCCAAATCGATATGCATCTGCAAATTCACTTGCCCCTGTGGGGTAGGTTACAATTCCCACACAAGCGATCACTTTCTAAACGCATCTCAGAATACTAACTGGGGTGGTTTTTAAAAAGAAAATGCAAGACAGTTACCAGTTCAATATAGGAGCATTTAATCAATTCAGGACATGTTGCTCCGAAGGAGTATTCCTTTAAAATAATATACGCAATCAAAGGAACTGGATCGAAGGGAAGCCGAATTAAAAGCTTATGCGCTGCTGAGGCTAGTTAGTTTTCTACGGGATGGGGTTGCTAACCCCATGCCCGACCCTCCACCCTTACCCGGGCTCGGGACCGGCAGTAACTCTGGAAGAGCTACAGGCGGAGTTCTTTTCCTACAATTGAAGAACATATGGAACTCAAAACAACTGTCTGTCAATCAATATCAAAGTCACAATCTTCAATACGAACGTCAACACAGACAGTTCTACTATACGGAGATGAAACTTGGAGAACTACAACAACCACCATCAAGAAAGTACAAGTATTTATAAATAGCTATCTACGCAAGATACTCAACATTCATTGGCCGGATACCATCAGCAATAGCCTTCTGTGGGAGAGAACAAACCAGCTTCCAGATGAAAACGAAATAAGGGGAAGATGATGGAAATGGATAGGACATACATTGCGAAAATCTTCAAACTGAATCACGAGGCAAGCTCTAACTTGGAATCCTGAATGGAAACGGAAGAGAGGAAGGCCAAAGAACACATTACGTCGAGAGATAGAATCAGATATGAAAAGGATGAATAACAACTGGAAAGATCTGGAAAGGATTGTCCAGGATAGGGTTGGATGGAGAGTGCTGGTGGGCAGCCTATGCTCCTCGACGAGGAGTAACAGGCGTAGGTAAGTAAGTAAGTTAACAATTTTTGATGATTACTATCCAGTTTATATTATTATGGCCTTTATGTTTATTCTGTTTGTTTTTATATATGTCAATTAGACAATTATTTTTCATAATTCTAACCCGATAAAATATTTTAATCCTTCTAATTTCCTAATTATCACGTAACCTTATTTGATATATAAAGTCTTGATTCACTTTATGATATAATCTTTTCTATCCTTTTATAAACATAGAATTTCTACACAAATGTACTCAGTAGTTAAGTGGATAACATGTAGGTGTTTGAAGTGAACGATATAAGGTTCGAGTTCCAGAGCGAACATCAACTCAGAGATGCAAATACATCCGACTGACAAGTCACAAGTAAGTTGAAATAATCGTTTAAATGAATAATTTCATGGACAAAAAGAAGAAAAACCTCTCTATTGAATTTTTTATTTTTATTTCATAACTAACTACCCCCCACCCCAAAAAAAATCAAGTTAGCAACAATCATAACTTACTTTCATGAGTATGACTTTCTTTTAAAACACTTGAATGACGAACATTTAATTCACGTAGATCATTATAATTTAAATCTTTAATAGCTACACGCAAATAACATAATTGACCACCCCTTTTCTGAATAAGAAAGAAAAAAACAAAAAAACTTTTTTCAATTATAATTTCTATAACAAACAATAATGAATAGGATTAGTTATAGTAAAGTAATTGTATTTAATGTTTCATCGGTTAAGATTAGTGCTTATTTTTAATATTATTCCCTTCAGATTGATAAACAAAGTCAGTCAGTAATAACATAGAACTTCATACGTATGTAAATCAGATCGAGTTACTATACCGCATTAACACAGAGATACAGTTGTCGATTCAAATTCCGTAGTGATAAATGTAGTAAAATCATAAGCAGTAATCGGAAACATTAGGTTTTGAAGATGTTATTCAAAGAGTATAATCAAGTGAAGTAAATTTGGAAAGAGAAAAGATAAAGGGACATGAAGAATTCAGTAGATTAGAATTTGGGAGAACATAAAGAGTGGATGGACCTGTGTCATTGCAAACGATTTTGAGCCATGTTTTTCGAGGTCTCTAACCATCGGTCGCTATCACCTTGTGGATCCCAACCAGATAGTCTACAACTACCAACATGACTTAGTTCACTTGTTAGTGACTTCATAGATTTTTGCTACGTTTTAGTCTGATAGCCATAATTGTATGTCCGCATTGATATGAGTAAAAGATATGTCGTAACATTGAAAAGAAATAAGCTACTTCAAATTTCATCACATATAACTAATCAGTTGTTATATCAACATAAAAATTTGACAGAGTCCTATTAATCCATATTTTGATGTTGTCTGTGTATATTTATTTTCATAATCTTTTCGTTTGACCTAATTTTCGACTTAAAGATTTTATTAATCAGTTGATAAATCAGATTGATTTCGACATATTTATTGATTGCTAATTGATCTATGTATATTTCTGCTCTTCATTGTATTCCCTTCGGTTTAACTTTTTAAATGTTACGACATATCTTTTACTCATATTAATGCAGACATACAATTGTGGCTACCAGACCAAAACATGGCACAAATCTATGAAGTCACTGACAAGTGGACTGAGCCATGTTCGTAGGTGTAGATTACCTGATTGGAATTCACGAGACGATAGAAACCGATGGTTAGAGAACTTGAATGACATCGCTCAAAATCGTTTACAATGCAATGGCACAGGTTCATCCAATTTTTGTGTTCTCCCAAATTCTAATCTTATGAATTCTTCATGTCCCTTACTTTTTTTCCCTTTCTCTCTCACACGCACACACACAATTTTGCATTTGTTATTTAATCATGTTCGAAAAATACTCAAAACAATAATATTTAGGTGAATGTTTCATCATGTGAATAAAACTTCTTAAGTTTATTAACATATTCAACCCTGGAGCCGAAAGTGTTTGTCTATACATAGTTAAATGATAAAGGAATTTTCATACTGTAATCTATGTTATGGAATTTCAGCTAAATGTAGCATTTTTATGCTTGGAAAAAAACATTTGTACCATTGAACTTGGCGTCTGTTTGTTACAAAATCTATGATAGATTTAACATATAACTAGGAATTATGTACATATAATGCGTCCAGTGAATAAGTGAATTAAGGAAGTGACAATAAATTTATAAAATTGTGATAACAGTTTGTGAAGAATAAGGCAATCAAATGAACAGCTCTCTTTGAAAAAATCAAGTAGCTTAGAATTTGGATTGTAAAGATTCTTAAGAATGATGAAAGATTATAATGATTATTTTGGCAAAAAAAGGATTGAATTATACTGTCTGTCTTGTGATATTCAATCACTGATTGAATGCCAGAATAGTTGGTAATTAGATGAATCTCAAACAATTGTTTGATTGTTATTCAAGTATATGTGTCGCCAATCCTCATATGTAATCATCCAGTGAAATGGCTTTTGTGAATAACGAAATTAAATAAATCAAATAAGAGGATGGATTTTTAAATACGTATATTTCATACAATCGTTGATCAGAAAGCGAAGCGAAATAAAATGCCTCGCAGTGGAGAAGGCATGTGAGCCAACTTGATATTATAATCAAGCGTTAATCGATATTTAAAATTAGATAAAAATAAATTACAGACATGTGATAAATAGGATCAGTCAGTCATTTACAACGTAGGACCAGGCACACACGTACATCGCTCCAAGTTACCATACCTTATTAGCACAAAAAGATGAACACCGAATTCATAGAAGTACTTACTTCAATTGTAGTAATATATAAATGAAAGATTGGGTATAACGATATAATACAGGAAGAAAGATAGTCACGCGGACCCTAACTAAGTAGTCCGCATCTACCAACATGGCTAAGACTAGGAGTTAGTGACTTTAAGGATTGATGCTACGTTTTGGTTTGGCCGCTCCTAACTGATGAATAGGTTAAGAAGTGAACACACACGCTCAAATAAAAACGGACAAGTTTGATAAGCGAATAATTAACATGGTCAAAATGCAACTCAAGGAGAATGAATGAACTGGCTTTTTCTGAAGCCAGAATAAGCTATGTGGGCTTAACATAGCTGACGACACTAGAGATATGCTTTCAGAGAAACATCTGATGTTAGCAAATTTAGACGTAAACGTAGATGACAATACAGATGAACAGGTTGAATATTGGGTGTTTTGCATACATTCTGTCCAATAGAAACTGAGATAGGATAGGATTACAAGTTTCTTACTTTCTGAATAAACTATATATGCATAATATTCATTTCATATATTCTATAGATCTCAAATAAAAGCATTCCAGTGACTTTATACTAACAGTAGACAAAAAAACAATTACATTCACTCGAATATATTCTACATACAGCAGATACACATATAAATATTTCTAAGTTGGTACAACATAATAAATAATAATTGAAAATTATTGAATATCATTAGCTAAACGATAATTAACATCATTGGATGCCAGCTCAGTGGTCTAGTGGTTAAGCGCGACGCGCGAGACTGGTACGTTCTAGGTTCGTGTATCGCAGGGGGCGGGATCGTGGGTGCGCACTGCTGAGGAGTAGTCCCACAATAGGACGAAACGGCCGTTCAGTGCTTCCAGGTTTTCCATGGTGATCAAGCTTCAATTGACTCATGATTTCAACTATTGACATTAATATCTACAAAACCACTTCTGATATTAAACGATAATTATCAAAATGTTAAATGGGTAATAATTAATTGTAATGCATTCAGTTGGAATTATTTAAATGTAATGTAACATACATTTCTGTAAACTTTTATATTTTTCATATTATACTTTGATTCTAATCTCATTTGGGTTCTTTTTCTTTTCAAACGGTTGTCAGATATTTATTTGACAGTGAATCACATGGTTGAGAGTTATAATTTATATTTTGAAGCTGTTAATCTGGTATACTATTGATTTAATTATTTGGTGCCCAGTATAATATCACAGAAATTTCTAAGATTGTCAATTGGGAATGTTTACACTTTTACCGTTATCTCAATCATAATGAATAAAGTATTCAACAAACCAAAAAAATAAATAAATAAGATGAACTAAAGAAGGAACGAATCGAGTGAAGAAATTTCTTTTCAATTAGTTTTTCATCATAGCTCTACACTAATATCTATATCTATATGATTTATAATAATGAAAAAATACTCATCGAGTAGATACGTTACGTACACATCTGGGCAGGATCATTGATGAACACGGTGAATCTGATGCAGACGTAAAGGCCCGGATCGGCAAAGCAACAGTAGCATAATTATAATTAAAGAACATCTAGAACTCAAAACAACTCTCTGTCAAACAACACCAAGGTCAGAATTTTCAATACAAATCTCAAAACAGTTCTACTGTATGCGGCGGAAACTTGGAAAACTACGAAAGCGATCATACAGAACATACAAGTGTTTATTAACAACTGTATACGGAAAATACTTCAAAACCATTGGACAGACATTATCAGCAACAACCTAGTGTGGGAGAAAACAAACCAAATCCCAACGGAGGATGAAGAGCTGAAAGTGGATAGGACACACATTGAGGAAAGCACCGAACTGAGTCACAAGGCAAACCCTCACATGGAATCCTCAAGGCCAAAGTAGAAGCGGAAGACCAAGGAATACATTACGCCGTGAAACGGAGACAGACATGAGAAGAATGAACAACAATTGGATAGAAATGGGAAAGAAGGCCCAAGACACAGTGTGTTGGAAAATGCTGGTCGGCGGTCCATGCTCTATTGGGAGTAACAGGCGTAAATAATATTAAAGACACGTTACGTAATAATTATATAATGGCATGCCGATTATAAACTAACATTGAGTAATTGGAAGGACGAGGATTAATAATAATCAAAATAATTATTCGAAAATCAAGCAGTTGCTACGTTGCATAATATATAGAGAAAAGAGAAGAAACTAAAAAAATATTTTGATGAATGCTTCGTTATCGTATAACAGAACAGCATCCGTTGTGGTTGAACAAAAGACAGATAAGAGTGATGAAAAGCTATTTTCTCGCTCACTTGGTGTGCACAGGTCATCAAATTGAATTAAGTAAAACTTCTAAGGTTATCTACCATATTCCATCATATTTGCCACATAGTTTACGTGTTCATCTTGTGCACATAGCTGAAGTCATTTCAATCCGTGATCAAAAAAGGAACCTTTGCATCCAAAATAAGTTTGTACAGCCGCTTTCGCTACCTCAGTTATCGGTATAGTAGAGTTTAAAGCAGAACTTTGATAAACTATCTTCGTATTTCTTCCATTTTCTTTTGTATTTTACTTATTCTCAACGTTCGTCTCTTGATTTTTACATAACTACTATACTATTGATTATTCATCAAAATATTTCATTAGTTCCTTCTTCCCTTCTTTATATCATGAAACGTACCAACTGCTTGATTTTCGAAGAACTACTTTGATCATTCAATAGTTGAATTCATGAGTTGATTAAAGCTAGACCACCATGGAAAACCTGAGAGCGCTGATCAGCCGTTTCGTCTTAGTATGAAACTCTTCATCAGTGTACAATCACGATCTAGCCTTGCGGGATTCGAACACAGGACTTATAGGTCTAGCGTGATGATTGATTGTTATTATTTCCTCTTCCTTCCAATTACTCAATGTTAGTCTATAATCGATATATCATTATGTAACTATTACGTAACGTATCCACTGGATGAGTATTATTTTATTGTTGTATATCATATAGATATAAATATTAATGTAGAGCCATCATAAAAAACTAAATGAAATGAAGTTTCTTCACTTGATTCGTTCCTTCTTTATTCATCAAATGTCAAAATGAGAATTTTCACTATATAAAAAAGAATAACAATTAAGGAATTTTATGCTCTACAAACTAGTCTGTTCGACTATTCAATCAAATTGCAATGTAATATTAATTTATATTTTTCAGTCAATTGATGAAGTAAAATCAAATGAGACGAAACTCGAATTTAAAATTAAAATAATAATCAAATGATTTAATTCATAAGTTACAAATATCATAAGTTTAATAACAAATGAATGATTTTCTATCATAAAATATTAAGTGTTTCCATAAATCAATGTACTTTTAATGTCTATTATTATGTCACCTATATATAACACACACACACACATTTATATATATATATAAATCATACAAAATGAAAATTATTCACATTGTCTAAATCATTCATTATGATTATGGTAATGGTCATTTAACAAATCCGATTTTATTGATCAGTTTTGTAAAAAGAAAATCTATTCAATAATATAATAACAGTAATAATAATAATAATAGTTCTGTTTTATTTGTGACAGTTAAAGTATGAAAGATTCATGATTTGAACAATGACTTATAAATTAATTTGATCTAGCTTAATATCATTAAAGAAAAATTACATAGATGCAGATTAGACAACCTATTTCACCGTGTTAAATAGATTGGTTGGCTAACATATATATAGTAAGAAAAAAATAGCTCCACAAAAGGAATTGACAAGATATTCAGTCAGTCAGCAACAACATAGAACTTCGTACATATGTACATCAGTTCGAGTTGCAATACTACATTAACACAGAGATGCAGTTGTCGATTCAAATCCCATAGTGGTAGAGGTAGTAAGAGTATAAGCAGTAATTGGAAAGATTATAGTTTGAAGATATTATTCAAGGAGTATAATCCAGTGAAATAAATTTGGAATGAGAAAAATAAAAGACATGAAGAATTCAGTAGAATAAAATTTGGAGAAGAAAAGGAATGAACCGCTATCCTTAAAAATCTCAAGGGTGAAAATGTCAGAGCCTGCTGCTCTCGCTCGCTTCAGATCTCCTATAGCTTTTTCAATTTCATAAAGAGTTGGAGGACCTACATTAACTTGCCATTCAGGTTTACTGGAGATCGTGGCAAACCGAAGTGTGGCTGAAGGCCAGTTGAACTGATCCCTAAAGTGTTCTGTCCATCGATCCAATCTCCTGGATTGAGAATGAATAATATGTCCATCTTTCCCTGAGATAGTTTCACTAACAGTCGGGTTCCCAATACCGGTTTCCTTATCAAGTGTGAACAGTGGTCTGCTATTACCTATTGCCACTGCCTTTTCTATCTCTCTTGCTTTCGCTAACCACCACTGTTCACGATCATTGCGTAGACTTCTTGTCAGCTTGCGCATAAGCTGATTCCGCTCTTCGTCATGTTTAAAGCCAGATGGAATGAGTTTTCGAGCATCTATCAGTGCGGTAGATGCTGTTGAGATCCAGTGTTTCTCCCTAACCTTGTGGTATACAGCACTAGCAGATATCACTACTGTTTCCACGGCTTTTCGGATATCATTCCATGCTGCCTCGGGGTGTGCATCACATACATGGCTGCCTTACTGTTTTCCTAGTTGTTCCTGAAATATACTCTTAGCTTTACTATAATTAAGTAGGCCCCTAAGAGGTTTCCTTGCATCATCTTTCCTACGTCCAGTAAGACGCAGACAAATAAGCACTCACACTAGAGCATAATATGAATCTAAGCATGTGCTCCAGAATGAGCGACAGTTTTCTATCGAGCCCCTCCTTCGGTGGCTGATAGCGATGTGATCTATTTGAGTCCAACCTTGGGACGAATTAGGCGGTCGCCACGTCAAAAGATGTTTTTGCTGATGCTTACAGTTAGTATTTGCAAGAAACAGACGGTTATCTGAGCATAGCTGCAACAGACGGTCGCCATTATCTAATCTTTGAGCCACCACACCAACAGAAGCTAGTCCTTTGCAGCTTCCTTTCATACCACGACATCAAGTCATACACCGACCAACTCTCTGCTCTTTCCAACCAGTCGCAGCGTCGGAGAATAATGCAAGACGTGGAATTCTCTGGGACGACATTCGTAGAACATGTCCAAACCAACAAAGCCGATGTTTCAAGATGGTGACATCAATTGGATTATCTTCTCTGTGCCCGAACAAACGATGCCGAACCTCTGCATTACTAACATGGTGTTGCTACTGGATTTCAGCAATCCTACATTTAACTTAGAGCGTGGAAACCGGGAATAATGTTCCACGTACTCGAAACGCTCGCATTAGCGGCGGGAGGTGATAAAGGAACGTGAGAAGTGTTAGTCGTGGGGGTAAAAGAGGTATTGGAAGGTGTAGAGAGGATTTGATTGTGACCAACTTGGTCTCGTGTGTTCTTACGGGTATGAGGGCTGATGTCACTTCCCGGCTGCCCACACCGTCGAAGGGTATTTCTTGAGGAACCTGAAAAGGAAGTTGGATTAGTGTTGGTCTTAACGAATTGGGAGTGTGACCACAGAGCCGAAAGGACAACTACTTGAAGCCGGTCACGCACGACCGTCTTGTAGGAAGTTTTTCACGTGTTGACTCCGTTCTTCAAAGGGCCTTACTGCTGGAGACGGAAATCCGTGAGGTAAGGTGAGGTGTGACATTTTTAGGGTCGACCTTTTCTAACCCCTTTCTTCCTTGTGAGAAGGCAACATTACTGCAGATGCTGGTTGTCCGAGGGAAACACCTTACTGCTGTCACACCCCTCTACAGTCAGCAGTACGACTTCGCCCTCAGACCTCGAGTTGCTGCTTTTAGTCTTAACGTTCTCAAATCGACCTGCCTGGCATGGAAAGGGTTAGGACAAGACATTCATAAAAGGGGAATATGATAAAAGATAGGTATTTGAAGTTTGAATACCTTTAGGATAGTAAGAGTGGATTATAGACTGAGCGTTTTTTATAATATCGTGAACTCTTCAGTAAAATGTAGTTGCTACAAATTATCCGAAATATTGTCAACATGATGGAAACGATGGAGAAATAAAGGTACCTGTTTATAAGAATCGTATATAAGAGGAGAAACTTATTAGATCCTGTTCTAAAAATCAACCATTAGTTACTTCATAATATATCATCTTTTCGATTAGAAGTGATCTGTAAATGAAGCTTGTGTATAATAAATGAAAAGAGAAGCAGTGGTGGATAAACTATTAATCTCTCTCACAAAAAGATAAGGAATCATAATGTAAGCTTAAAAAAACAATTGAATATTTGAAGATTTCTAATAGTGCACTTTTATAATCATCAAAAAAAGCTTATTTTCTTGCATTTCATATTTTGATATTCTTAATTTGACAGTTCATTGATCATCGCGTAGTGACCATTGTCATGTGTGTCACACCCTTCCTAATGCAGATCGAATTCTATAGATCAAGGTGCAATGTTACTTGACATTAGATGTACTATGTTGATATATAATGTGGTTCAAGTATACCCTGGACCTAGGTTTCGCGCCGTTTGGCATTAGTCAATAGGGTGTACCTGTAATCCTGAGGGAACTGACGTTCCCTGGTGCTATGTTTGAGTAGTTCACCAAATCTATGAACGGAACGAAGAATCTTTGACCTAATGACAGCAAAGCTAGCTATTCCAACGCGTCCCAGCCCCGTTAACTAGACAGAGAAGTCCAAGTTCGGAAGTGGGAAACATATTCCACAAGCAACAAGAAGTATGAACAACTACGACAAGTTTAGTTGGAAATACACTCGTTTATTTATTGATTCATACACCCATTTTTCATTAATAATTAGGATAAAATCACATATATGAAAAATACTTAGTTATGACAAATCATATGCTGAGTATAGTTCATGTTAGCTTAATACAAGAATATCGTATGTCACTCTGAGAAACAGAAACAAATACTATATTGAGTGAGCATCACATTGAATTAAAACGGAATTAATATTGAACAAAAATTATGAGTAAATTAATCTAATTTTGACTTTTCATCCTGTCATATCAGAATTATAAAAATAAGGCATTTACCAAGTGAGTTTTGAGGATCTAACATCCTCAACACCTGGTGGATTCGATCTCGTGTCACCCAGCTTCATAGTCAGACACATTACTACTGAACTATCCGACCAGTGACTGAACATTAGGAGTGAGATATATTTACAATTGATTGATTACCGAGTGCTGACCAAAGTTGTGTGTGTCAAATCCTTTTTAGTACAGATCGACCTGGAATTGTACCCAAAACGTTTCAAGTCTCATGGTGAGCGCTTAATCTTTAAATCACTAAATCGTAATCCAGTAGTTTACATGTTTAACTTCAATCACTTCCTAATTTTGTGTAACCATCATCTAATACGATTATTATTAAGTAACAGCTTCAAACCTGACATGTACATTGTATAACTATTGAAAAATAATACTTACCTTTTTTGATATGACTACAGCATCAAAATCATGATAAACAACAACATGATGATCTTTAGTTAGTTGGACATCCATTTCAACAAAATCAGCTCCCTTGATAATAACGATTTTATGTTTTCATGTCCAATATAGTATGATGGGCGAGAGAGTGAGCAGAAATGGTACGAGAGGTAGAGAAAAAACAATAACAATTAAATAAGGTGAGGAATAAAAAAAACATTCAGACATATCAATAAGAAATAGAGCAGGTTAAGAACTGATCAATAATAGAAGTTCCCTATGATATGAAACAGCACACACAAACACACACAAGGGAGATTGATGAATGTAAATCTCGCAATTACAAATCATGCAAACACATACACATTGAACAAAGAATGTCTAAAGAAAAAAAGAAATTGGCTAGAGCAGAAAATGGAAATCAACATTTTCAATAATCAATCAAATTATTCTTTAATGTAAAGAAAAAGAATGGTAAAATGAAAATAGTTCATTGAAATGATATTCACAAGGGGTTTTGTGGAGATTTTAGTAATTTCAATAGTTGAAATCATGAGTCAATTGAAGCTAGATCACCATGGAAAACCTGGAAGCACTGGATGGCCGTTTCGTCCTATTGTGGGACTACTCCTCAGCAGTGCGCATCCACGATCTAACCACCCGCGATATTTGAACCTAGGATGTATCAGTCTCGCGCGCGAGCGCTTAATAATTAGACCACTGAGCCGGACGAAACGGCCGTCTATTGCTTCCAGGTTTTCCATGATAGTCTAGCTTCAGTTGGCTCATGATCTCAACTATAGAAATTTCCAAATTCTCCACAAAAACCCCTTCTGAAAATTATATAGACTTGATTTGCTTATGTTGAATCGTCGAATGTAAAGTAATCGATCAATCCATTTTTTTTATTAATTAGACATTTGAAACAGGAAATCGGTATAGTCAATAAGAAAGTTCGTCTAAATTTGATCGAATAGTTGTTTCATAGTATTTGGGCGCCAAATTGATGTGAGACATTAAATAGGAAGAATGTATTTGTAAAATCTCAACGTTTCACTTGGTAATCTGGTCTAAGCCTTTTCAAGGAAATATAATCAAACATCGAAATGATCGAAAATATCGAAATAGGTATCGTCAATAAGAACATGAAAGGGATTTTATAAAAAGGAATCAAAGAGGAAATGTAATGAAATTATGTGTATTTTAAATATTCAGATTAAAATTAGAAAAATGAAAACATTCGAAAACTGTTATGCATTGTAATTAAATAAACACAAGTAGCATTCTTCATTTTTCACTGAGGTATATGAGACTGATCACATTTTATATTTATTATTTAAACATATAAACATTGGTACGAGGCACCAAATAGATATGCGCAACATAAATCATTCGGTTTATGTGAAGGATGGGATATTGTTCGTGTGCCCAAAACAAAGCAGATGGTTTACTTAGGGAGCCACACTCAGAGCCTTTGACCTGAAGGTCCAATCCACAAGGTAGTGGAGCAACGTAAGGAGATGCAATCACATGATAGCCGGTGATCAACGATTGCTTTGTACGCCATTTTTTCTTCCAGGGAATTGCAGCCCATGTTCACCATTAGTTTGGAATCAGGGTTTTCCAACTCTCTTAAGTGGACTCTCCATGTCCACCAAACAGGTTAAAGCGCCGGACATTCACTTTTCGTCCTCTGAATTTCGTAAACAACATTAATGCCGCGAGAATGCAATGAGTAGGACTCCCCTGGCAGTGGTTGTATGCACGTGGCCATGTGAGAGCAATTCGAGAGGAAGAGCTGACTCTCACAACTCTCGACTGTACCAGGGTAGTTGGAAGCTAATGATCAAATTTTACACCAATCCGTGTGAACTTTGATAGCAAGTGATCAAATTATACTATACTGTATTGTGTTGAGAAAATTTGAAAAAAAAAGAATAATTGTGATCCAATTCGCTGGTAGAGATATATCATTCTTTGAATAACACCAGAAATGTCACTTTAACGTAATACATCATTTTTGAGAGGAGGCGAAAGATTGACGATGGTCAGTACAGAAGACTGTCAATAAACAATAGAGAAACGATTCTTCATTCTTTATTCGATATCAGTCTGTAATATGGTACTAACTACCATTAGAAACAGTTTCATCAAAATATCTAATCTAAAATAGTTCCCACATAAAAACAGTTATTTCATTTCAACTAAGTGGGAAACCAGAGAAAAAAACACAATTCAGAAGTGAAATATAGAACAAAACTATAAACAAAGTAAATAAGACTAAATTAATCAAGGAGGAAAATTACATGTTGGACAGCCGTCCGAAACGAATCCAATGTATTTTCTCTAGTTGTCGGTGATCTGTAAAAAGAAATTAAGCACATTAAATAACTGTAAAATGTGTATACCAACATAAAACAAAGCAGAATTGAGAAGCAAAAATCATATTACTGATGGAGATAGCAAATTCTAAATATTATATTGACGAGACTATAATTTATGGATGAACCAATCAGATATAAGATAACGAGTCTGGGGTTTTTGGCGCGAAATTCATTCATACATTTGGTTAAATAGAGTTTTGGGATTATAGTTGATGTCAGTTCGTGATGAAAACCTTAAATCTAATTCCTAACCCTAACTATCAACTGTAAATGAGAATTCTAACTGCTTTCTAACCCTCATATAGTCCAAACCAGTAAGTGTCCACTCTTAAGGTCACTTCAGCGTCGCTCAAAGGTCGTCCATAAATTATAATCTTAACGATTATATCACATGGAATTACTTTCAATTGTCTATTGTGACAGTAATATTTTCAAATCAAGTGTTTACTTTAACAGAAGAGTACTCTGATGTCTAAGAGAACAATTGAAAAAAAAACTTTTTTAGACAAAATTTTATGAAATTAAGTAGTTATGTATTTGAATAAACGATAATTCTAATTAGAGATGACAGATTTGATCATTATGAGACCACTGTACGCCACAGTGTACGGAGTTGAAACTTCGAGAACTACTTCAACCATCATCGAGAAGGAACAAGTATTTATAAATAGTTGTCTATGCAAGATACTCAACATCCATTGGACAAATACCATCAGCAGCAGCCTACTGCGGGAGAAAACAAACCAACTTCCAGCTGAAGAAAAAAATTAGGAAAATACGATTGAAATGGATAGGACATACAATACGCAAATCATCAAACAGCATCACGAGGCAAGCCCTAACTTGTAATCCTGAAGGGAAGTGGAAAAGAGGAAGGTTAAAGAATACGTTACGTTGGGAAATAGTATAATATATGAAAAGGATGAATAACAACTGGAAAAAGGTGGAAAGGATTTTCCAAGACAGTGTTGGATTGAGAGCGCTGGTGGGCGGCCTATGCTCCTCCACGAGGAGTAGCAGACGTAAGTAAGTACGTACACCACAGTGTTGCCGTGGTATTCAACTCACCGACTAAGTAATGGAATAACTAGTAACACAGTCAGTCAGTCAGTCAGTCAGCTACAACGTAGGACCAGGCACATATGTGCATCGGTCCAGGTTGCCATACCTCATTAGCACAACAAGATGAACACCGGATTCATAGGAGTGGTTAGGTCAAAGGTTGCAATAAGGATATAGTATAGGAAGGAAGAATTAGTTCGTATGAAGTGATTTTAATCTCTTAGTTTAAGGGAAGACAAAGAGTGTATACACCGACGCCATTGTGATCGATTCTGAGCCATGTCACCAAGAGTCTCCAACCATTGGTTACGATAGTCACGCGGACCCCAACCAAGTAGTCTGCATCTACCAGCATGGCTAAGACTAGAAGTTAGTGACTTCAAGCACTGATGCCACGTTTTGGTTTGGCCGCCCCTAACTTTCTTCCAACCATCCCCTACACCGGTTAGCATTGCACGTCGTGGTAATCGGTGTTCAGGCATACGTAATACGTGGCCCAACCATCTCAGTCGATGAAGATTCATAACCTCATCAACTGATTTACCATCATTCCCTAATACCCTGCGTCTAATCTCACTATTACTTACCCGGTGATCCCAGCAGATGCCAGCAATATTTCTAAGGCATCTGTGGTCAAATACTTGTAGCTTACGGGTGTCTTCTACTCTTAAAGGCCATGTTTCGCTGCCGTAAAGTAAGACAGAACGGACTGCCGCGCAGTATACTCGTCCTTTTATTGATAGACGGATATCTCGCCTTCGCCATAGGTGGCGCAAGTTGGCAAAAGCCAATCGAGCTTTTCGAATCCGTGCTGAGATTTCGTCAGACACCAACCCATTAGGGCAGATCAGACTTCCAAGATAAGTGAAGTTGTCGACGCGTTCAACTACTTCACTCCCTATCCTTAGTTCAGGTGTTGACGCAGACCAGTCCTGAAGCAACAACTTGCATTTCGAGGGAGAGAAGCGCATCCCAAACATTCTGGCATTGTTGCTCAGTGCTACCAGAAGACTCTGCATTTTGTCAGCGTCTTCACCAAACAGGACTATATCATCTGCGTATTCTAAGTCGATAAGTGGACCTCCTGGAAGGAGATCAATACCCGAGAATTCAGTCGACGAGAGTGTTATTTCCATCAATAGGTCTATGATGAAGTTAAACAAAAATGGAGAAAGTGGACAGCCTTGACGGACACCACTTGAAGTTGCAAAAGTAGATGACAGTTCGCCATAAGCTCTGACTCGACTAGTAGTGTTCGAGTAAAGAGCCTTCACAAGGTTTATGTACTTCTGAGGTACGCCTTTCAATGACAGACACTGCCACAGAGTCTCGCGGTCTACAGAGTCAAACGCTGCTTTTAAGTCAAGAAAGACCACCATCGTCGGACGCCGATAGGTATGCCTGTGTTCTAGAACCTGACGAATGGTGAATATGTGGTCGATGCAGCCACGACCAGGTCTGAAGCCAGCTTGGTTCTCTCGAGTTTGTAGTTCACGAGTCTTAGTTAGGCGTCTGATAATTATCGAGGCTAGTATTTTAGATACTATGTTTGTTAAACTTATCCCTCTGTGGTTGTCACAGGATGATTTTGACCCTTTCTTATATATTGGGACGATTGCGACCAGTCAGATGGGATAAAGTCTAATTCCCAGATCTTAGCTAAAATGTTAGTCAACCTAATCGCTAAAATTGGACCACCATCCTTAAAGACCTCTGGAGCCAATCCATCTGGACCAGCTGCCCTTCCTCGTTTCAGATTAACTATAGCCTTTTGAACTTCAGCAAGAGTTGGGGGACCTACTTCAATGTTCCATTCACATTGTCTGGGAATGGAGGGTAGTTGTAGAGTAGCTGAAGGCCAGCTGAACTGTTCTCTAAAATGTTCCGCCCATCGTCTGGACTGGGAGCAGATGAGAGTATCATCTTTTTCCGAAATAATCTCACTTACACTTGACTTATTAATTCCAGTTTCTTTTATTAGTCTGTAAAGCTGTCTTGTGTTCCCTATAGTCGCCGCCTTTTCCATCTCTTTTGCTTTCGTTACCCACCACTGCTCACGGTCGTTCTTTAGACTTTTTCTTAACCTAGATCTGATTTGTTTTCGCTCTTCATCATGTTCAGAACCTGATGGGATGAGTTTGCGAGAATCCATCAGTGTGACAGACCTTGAAGAAATCCACTGGTTCCTTGCAACTCTGTGGTTTAAGTCACTAATAGATGTCACTGCTGTTTCCACAGCTGATTGTATGCCCTTCCAAGCAACATCTGGGTCAGCCTCGTCTTCACAACTACCTAATCGTGACCTCAGTTGTTCCTGGAACCTACTTTTGGTTTCCTCGCTACTCAGTTCGGTCCTAATGGGTCTTTTTACTGTGGCTTTTTTGCGTCCAGTGAGGCGCAAGCAGATGCGTGCCCGTATTAGGGCGTGGTCGGAGTCCAAGCAGGTACTCCAGAATGAGCGACAATCTTCTACCGACCCTCTCCAACGATGACTGATGGCAATATGGTCTATTTGAGTCCATCGTTGGTTTGGTGTAGGGGGTCGCCATGTTAGACGATGTCTCTCCTTATGCTTAAAATTTGTGTTTGCTAAAAATAAACGATTGTCTGAGCATAGCTGCAGCAGGCGATCACCATTATCTGTTCGCTGTGTCGGAATACTAAAATATCCACCTAAATGCCTTTCTGTTTGGTTTAAGCTTCCTATCTGAGCATTAAAATCACCTGCTACGAGTACTATGTCTGAGCGTTTAGCTTTCTGAAGAAGTTCGGACAGCTTTCTGTAAAATTCATCTTTCACTTCATCTGAGCTGCAGTCGGTGGGAGAGTAGACAGAAACGACAAAAAGGCAACGACGTGTGTCCCTATCCTTCCGAGTTCTTACGTAGCCGTTCAGCCGAACAGCACATAGACGACTGTTGACGGGGATCCACTCTAGCAGTGCTTGTTCGGCCCTCATGCTTAGTGCTATGCCTACACCTGCCAGTCCACGAGAACTGGCCATCGGGTCACCAGATACACGAAGGGTGTATCTCGTTGGCTCTCCGTTTTGCCGAGGTGAGGTCAAGTGAATGACCACACTGGGATCCTGTATGCGTGTTTCGGAGACACAGCATACATCAATGGAAAGAGACTCTAGGGTTTTAGCCAAGGAAGCCTGCTGACCGATTTGACATAGAGTGCGTACGTTGAAAGCTCCAATGTGTAGTTTGGAGCGAGGTTTCAGTAGACCTGGGACAGAGTTTTGAGCACTAGAATCGTTGGCTATGGTGATACTTGAGGAGGAAGCCGAAGGAGGAAGTTTAGAGTTGAAAGTCGATGTAGGAGGAATAATAGGAATTGAAGAGGAAGGTTGATTATGAATACAGTGGTCTTGGGTGCTGTTAGAGGTATGAGGGCGGTTATCACTTCCCGGTTGCCCACACCGTGGAAGGGTTCTTCTGGAGGTACCTGAAAAGGAAATTGGATTAGAGGTGGTCTCAGTGACCTGAGAGCGTGACCGCAGTGCCCAAGGGACAACTGCTTGAGGCCGGTCGCGCACGGCCTTTTTGTGGAAGGTTCTCGACGTGTTAGCTCCGTTCTTCAAAGGGCCTTACCGCCGGAGACGGAAATCCGTGAGGTAAGGTGAGGTGTGCATTTTTAGGGTCGACCTTTTCTAACCCCACCCCTCCTTGTGAGAAGGCAGCATCGCTGTCATGCTGGTTGTCTGAAGGAAACACCTTACTGCTGTCACACCTCTGTACAGTCAGCAGTACGACTTCGCCTTCGGACCTTGGGTTTGTTGCTTTTAGTCTTACCGCTCTTCAACCGACCTGTCTGACATGGTAGGACCTTGAGGAACGGTTGTTCCAGCCAGTATAGCTCGGTTGCTTCATCACGATAGGCAAGCCCGACCACCACGTCAAGGTAGCAACA